TGAACCTTAAAGTAACCGGTAGATTTCCATATTCTGTGACTCCGGAAGGGTTTGCTTGTTATTCTGAGTTTAACATCGAAGATGATGAAACTGTTAGAGATTTTTTTGCGGATTTCGGATGAATACATGAAATTTATTGTGATAAAATTATTGGAAATGTACGTCAAGGCTGAAGACGTTGGCAATAATGAGATTGCGCAAAGCAGGGATAACCCTCAGTCATCGGGTGGTTATTCTTGAGCAATTTTAGCCCAACAAGTTCCCGCTGAAAGAGTTTGGTCGGATCTTAACTTATCTCCGCGGGCGAACGAGGATCGAGTAAATAATTTCTCTCCTACTTTACATAATCCACAAGACGACTAGTAAACTTCAATTTTCCTTTCTGTTACGATGTTTATTTTTTGTTGAATTAAATTTCTATTAACACTCATATTTTTCACAGGGGGTACCATCCGGATATGAATTTTACAAGTTATGACCCCACGCCCAGTTGGAAGATGCGTAGTTCTAGAGTGTTGGATCACGGTGGTCCATCCGGGAGTCATCACCAACAGGAAAATGTCCATCATGGAATATTAGCACAATATTACATCGCGTTATATATAACGTGGTATTACACCGCATTATATATAACGCAGTATTACACCGCGCTATATATAACGCGGTATTACACCGCGCTATACCTTAACGGCAGAAATACCGTTAAAGTATAACGCGGTATAATACCGCGTTATATATAGAAAAGTATCTTTTTTTGGGCAGTAGAAACGTATTTTGAGTCCAAAAAGTTGGTATTTAGGTTTCGGACTCGCTTGCCTAGAAAGTAGTGTTAGAGATCATCACGGCTCCGGTGGGTGTTGAGTCGTAACAAGTTGCTCTTGTCGTTGTGCTCCTCATGGTAAGACTATCCAACGTTTGCTTATTGAGAGTGATGCTGCACAATTCCTCTAGTGTAGATTTGGCCAACCTTTGGGAATCAAATACCATAGAATTTCTGTGTGGGCTTCCCTCAATAACCGGTGGCAAAATGAATACATGAAACTTGTCCATAGAATGCTCATACAAATAACATCTATTGTCATTTATTAGGAACTCCAGAAGAGCAGATGTGCTTGTAAATATTGATAACAAAAAAAAATCTTTCTTCTAGCATGGAACACCAAATTATATGGACTATTAAGACTACAATTGCAAGGGCATTTCCTAGCTGCACTATGCCTTGGAATAGAATCTATGAGGATGTTGAGAAGCTTAGGCCAATCTCTAGAAGTATATATGTCACATGGGAGAAATCGAATTTTGGAGAAGTTAAAGGTAATACATATGGGAGTTTTTTGGATGAGAGTGGAAGATCAGGAATAGGTGGAATTGTCAGAAATAAACATGGGGATTTCATCTTTGCATTCGATATCCTTATATAATGCAAGGACCACAACTGTGCGGAAGCTTTAGTTGTACATTATGAGGGATCTGGTGTATTTCTAGCTGGCATAACAGATGTGCTATAGAGATGGATTCACTGGTTGTGGCCAACATGTTGAGAAATAGACTCTTTGCAACCTTCTCCTCAGAAACACCATCGACAACACATTGCAGCTTTTAGATCAAGCAATTGTCAGGATATCTCATTGCTATGGAAGACAAATAAATGGTTGATTATCTCGCGAAGTTAGATGCTACATTGACTGAGGGAGCCATATATCATTCCTTTTAGTAATAGCCAGGGAAAGCTAGAGGATCACTTTGATGGATAAATAGCAACTACCTAGCATCAGAATAAAATACGACAAACCCAACTTTTTTGTTAGTTAATTGTGTAGTAGTTATTTTGGAGACTTTGTGGTTAACTGTCTCCTTTTTGTATAGATTGTCTAACAATCTGTGTTGTATTCTAGAGGTCAGGTCAACCCCCCTTTATTTTCTGAGTTTATGATATAATACAGCACCCCTAGAATCCTTTCTAGGTTTAACAAAAAAATTGAACTACAATTTTATAAAATCAAAACTAACATTAAAAAGACAACAAAGAGAATTCTACTAATAAAATAAGCAGAGAACCAAAGGAAAGAGAGTTTCAAGAGGCTTATGTAGTCAGGATTCGAGCCCATGAACTCCACCTTATTTTGAATATGGTTAGTGTTGGGTTGCCTTTCTCAATCATATTTAGGGTTTTCAAAGAATATTAATGGGAACCTTACACAAATGTCCCATATAAGTTTTAACTTACCAACATCTAGCCATTAGTCATAAACTTACCAAAACTAGCCCATTACATATAAAAATTGAAAAACTAAATAAATAAGGTTCTTTATCTCAAAGAATCACATGCAAAAATCTCCCTCCATATTTTTAAGCGTGATTAGCAACATTAGATGCAAGATGGAAAGGAAATTTCATGGATAAGGTAGCAAATAAGGTAATGAAATACAAAAAAAATATAATATTCCAAAAGTCTAAGCAAAAAGGGAACTTTTTTTAATGGGTATAGTTGAAATTCATTGAAAACATATAGATAAGTCAATATATAAAATTTGAGGAAGATTGGAGGTGATTTGGACTGATTTTGTATCAAAATTCATAATAAAATCGAGTTCAAAAAAGTTCTTCCACGACACATGTATCAAACATGCATCATGCATATATCTCACACACAGGTATACATGAATATATATGTGATACATAATTGGTACAAATATGATACATATGTGATACACAGTGTGATACACATATCATTTTTTTTCATGTTCGAGTTTTACTTCGAATTTTCAATTCAAACCGCCTCAAAACTTCACCAAATCATCCCAAACTGAGATTCAAACTTTTTAAGATATATCCAATCTATTTTAATAACACCCACTCAAAAAAAAAAGCAAAACATTGACCTAATTTTGCTACAAATAGCTAATTGGCTAATATTAGTAATATATCATGAATTGGCTAATTTTTGTAATGAGCTACTTATAAATGGACATAGCCGGTAACTTCCCATTAATAGTCACATAAAATTAAATGATATTTAACCTATATTGTGTAGTATAATTTTTCAACGAAGGATGTTCGCGTGACCACCCTTGACACCGCTATTGTGTTCATCCAACCGTAACCTTTGGTGGGAAGCTCCTTTCTACCCGTCCTTCATTTTCATAAGGGCATTTGTATCTATACCCGCTTTTTGTGTCACGTTTTAACTTGTGCCCTCTTTGCAAAAAAATTTACAAACGTACCCGCTTTTTCGCATAACTTCAGCATACGAGGCAGAAGTAGCAAAGACAATCACGCAAAACTTCAGCATTCTAGTAGTCGGGCCTGAAGTTCAGCTCTAGAGCTGAAGTTTTTGTTTTGTAACTGGCGAACTTCAGCTCTAGAGCTGAAGTTTTTGTTTTGTATCTGGCGAACTTCAGCTCTAGAACTGAAGTTTTTGTTTGTAACTGGCGAACTTCAGCTCTAGAGCTGAAGTTTTTGTCTTTGTAACTGGAAAAATATTTGATTAACTTCAGCATGTTTTATGCTCTCATGTTTTATGCTATCTGATCCAAACTCTTCTTTCTTTTGTCCAATATGTACGCAGTATACAAGGTATCCATAGTTTTCACTCACGTTTAAGTTTGTCAACGCATTGGACTAATAGGCAATATGTCTTGTATGTAATGAGAAAAGTTAGTTTCCATTAATTTTGGAAATTTTGTAACTTATCATAAACCCAATGTCCATTACCATCACCTCCATCTCCTCTGTACTGTTCTGAATCATTGTAAAAAGAGACGACATAATGTATTTAATAATATTACCGGCTTGACATATGCTACTTTAGTTTGTTTCACCGAAATTCACAAATACAGAACTGAAATTTCAAAGAACTTTTATTGTCTCTTGGTTTGAGATTTTTAATGTTATAATAATCCAAGTGGAAGTCCTCAATATATTTGCTTTAGCTTCATTAATCAAGGAGAGCAATGTTGAAGTCATCGTTGTAGAAGAAGAAAGAAGAAAATAAAAGAGGAGAAGGAGGAGGAGAAAGGAGGCTGAAGTTGTTTAAAAAGTGGGTACAAGTTAAAAGTTTTGAAAAAAAATAGATATAGGTTAAATGTGGGCGACCAAATAGAGCGCCCCGTACAATTTTTACGTTTTCATGGCATGCCTTCAATAACCATTTTCAAATCTTTCTCCTGCTTGTCCTTATATATGATTCATTTTGCATTAAATGTAACGTGGACAGAAAGGGACCAAAGGTTATTGATCAAGATGAAATCAAGATTAAAGATCGATTTTTTTTAAGGAAGTAATTAATTAGTGATAGATCTATTATTTCTTGAAATCTCTTTTTATTCAAAATTGTAGTAGGCGTTTGGCCATGAATTCCAAAATAAATTTTCAAATTTGGAATTTGGAAGTTGTGTTTGGTTATAATTTTTGCAACATATTTGAATGTCTTTTTTGCAAAACCATGAAATATGATTTATACCCCATAACTTGTAAAAAATATTAAAACCATCCCAATTTAATTATACTACTTGAAATAAACAATCAAACATGCTATTGTTTAGTAATATGGTAGTCGTCACAAGAAAAGGGTTCATTATCCGTTGCGGTAGCTTCATCTGATAGTCGAGGGGAAACACGTGGGGTAGTTGTAGGTTAATAATTGATGGGGTCATTTTATAAATTTTAAAAGTATAGGGTAAATTTATAAAATTTAAAACTAGTGAAAATGCATTTTTAATTGAAAAACCGGTAAGAACTTGTTTTTCAAATTTGAAAATGCATTTTCAAGTAAAATTGAAAAAATTGATAATATATGGATAACCAAACATTGTTTTCAAAATTGTTTTTGGAAAAAAGTAAAAATTTTGTATGCCCAAATGGACTCGTAGCGTCTCCTCCCCTTTTCTTGGAATTTCATCCTTTCTCTCTATTCCTTACAAGATCCTAGGATGGAATTCTTCGAGAAAGCCAATCTGTTAGGCTAAAAGTCTACCATGCAAAAATAGTAGATTAAAAGATGGACCTTCTTTTTAGGAAGTTGTTTGGTGAATAGATTTGAGATTTGCTGAAATTTTCTTTTGATTAAAATTGTAGCGTTACGTGAATATGTCCTTGTTTTTGGAATTTCATCCTCATTATAGAATCTTAGGATGGAATTCTTCGAGAAAGCAAAATCCATCAGGCTAAAAAGCCACCACGGGAAATTCTTACATGCCAATTCCAATCAAGAAACAGTGCACCAACATCGTCATGGAACATCTAAGACTGCAAAATGGACAGTTGAATTTCCTAAAGGAATCAATAATAATGTTGTACGTTTGAATAGTTGTTATGGCAAATATCTAATGGCCACAGATGAACAATTTCTTCTTGGTGTAACGGGTCTTAAAGTTGTTCAAAGTTTGCCCAAAAATTTGGATTCCTCAATTGAATGAGAACCTGTTAATGTTGGATCTTTAGTGAAGCTCAAAACAAAATATGGGAAATTTTTAAGGGCAAATAGTGGATTACCCCCTTTTAGAAATTCAATTACACATGACATACCTTATAGACATCAAGATTGGATCTTATGGGAAATAGATATTATTGAGTTACTGCCCGGCGCAACAATAATAACAACTATATCTCAATCCCAATCAAGTAAAGAGTTACTGCCCGAACCACAGAAAAAATTATTAGATGGTGATTTGAGCTCATCTTTTCGTCTTACGTTTTCCAGGTAAGATTCATAATCAGGTTAGTTTTCTATATACAGCTAAAGCTAATGTCTAATATATTGATCACCACTTTCTTATGCCAAATGAAATGTGGTTAATTTCATGCCATCGAATTAAGGGTCTACTGCAAAGAAGTCGTAAAATTATATTTTGTAACCAGAAAAATAAATTAACTATCCTTTTCGCTCAAATGAAATTATTGGGAACTCATTTAAGCCAGCCAATGCTAAATATTTACAGCTAATTAAGCTGACACATGATAAGATAAGATTGTCAAATAAGTATTGTCACGTCACCAACACTAGAAACACATTTACAGGGCAACACCTATGTTATTACTTCCCCATTTCTCCCATTTTTACCCTAGTGTTATTCATATACGTTTTTCCAATAAGAATTATCAACATATATAAGATCGAAGTTGAATTTAACTATATATGTGTCGATGACATGGCAATGCTTTTACAATTTTATCTTATGTGGTTGCTTAGTTGTTATTACCGGTGTTGAGTTAATAAATTTCTGACAATTCTTATTTAAATGTATATTTCACTTTTATATATATATTGTATATAACTTAAATTCATTAACATGCAGTCAAAATTTGATGCTGCTATGACAAAGCCCGAAGGTCGGCTGATCTATTATTATGTGGCAGATGAGAAGGGAACTGTGAATGATGAAGTGAAAGGACCTTCATTTCAGTTCAAAGGGCAAGTGCTAGAGGAACTAACTCAAAAGTTAGAGGAAGAAACAGGGCTCAAGAATATTACATTGTGTTTGCGCAACAAAATAAATGGGAATTTATGTCCTCTTAAGTTAGAATTACCACCCAACAATGCAACCATGGATGTTGTGGTAGTACCTTAGCTTCATCTGCATCTAAAGGTTAGTACGCTCGACCTTATCTTAACATTTAACAATGTATTTTATTTATATATATGTTCGCGGTGTTAAAAAAAATTATGTACGCGATTAGTGTTGCATAAATTATGGATTTAACTTATAGACATTGACAATGCAAAGAATTTCCTTATTGCATGTATTGTAAATAGATGCGGAGTTAGGATTTAAAGTTTATGAGTTTAGGATTCTAGTTCTTTTAAGTTACTGGGTTCTAACTTAATAATTTGTACATATTTAATAATTTTTTAAGACATATATAAGATTTGGACCAAAACTATTGGGTTCGGCCGAACCCGTAGCCGAAGGGCTGGCTTCGCCCCTGATTGTAAAATGTCCAGGCAGGATATCTATCTTATTGTATTCAAGTGACTAATTCCGCTTATCATAGATTAGTTACTTGTAGTTAGTTTTAGATGACCTGATAGAATAAAAATTCTACACTGTAAATATATGAAAATTAAATCCTTAATCTATTATAGCTGGTTATTAAATTAGTACCATTATTAATTAACAGGTTATAAATTAATTATCTAGATATTAATATATTATGCTACCTTTTGGCTCCTTGTTTGGAAGGTTTAGCTTCTGTTAGATCGATAAGAATATAATAGTCCTCGAAAATCATCTTTGTTACTGTTCAATTTAGGTCAAACTTGGCTTGTACATATATCATGCGTTTCAACTTATATATACTGATAATGTAAAAAATAATTTAATCGCTTTTTTTTTTTAAAGTTACCCTACTAGACTCAATTGTAAAGTTGCCTATGTTACAAGTCAATTTTAAACTAATAGAGTATATAAATTCATTACACAATCGAGCATAATCTCTTTCTATACCTGTAAGGCTGTACGTATCTATTGATGTTCTTTTCTGTGGCTTTGTTAGCATCTGAATAAAATGTTTTTTTTTCTTTCTCCGAAACTGCAGCAAAGAGAATAGGTAGCAGATATTCCCGCGTCCAAATGGTCGGTGGTCAACATTCTATTCATGAAATTTTGCCATTACAAGCTATCATGCATGTGAATTCACGCTGAAACTGTAAATAATTTTTAATTTAACCTTTAACTAGTTACTAACTGTTTTTTTCTGGTTACTAATGTGTATCATAAAGATTTATTTATAACTATTTTAGAAGATATTTGATACCCATTTTTGGCTACTACTAATTTGGATTCGCTCCAAAAAGTCTCATTTTGGGGTAAAACACTCCCAGTAAAAAACGACTTTATTTTTAGTATACGAAACTCAAACAAGTTTGATTATGAATGGAGGGGTACTTACCACCCACCACAACCGTTGGTGTGGTAATTATCTTATAAAACTTGCTCGTGTAAAGTAGGATATATACACAATAATTACGTGTTATATGTCGCTTAAAATAGCTCATACAGTATTAATATAGAGGGGTTAAACTCTTTATGCATTAGTAAATCAAACTTGAAAGCCATGAGAATATATGTCTGGACGCGCCCCCACGAAAAGTTCCATTACTTTTTTTTTTTCCATCAAAAAAGTTCCATCATTATAAAGTGGTGAATATGCGAATTTTTTTCGACTAACTATGCGGCTTCACAGGCATTACGCTTTAAAGGTTTCCGTCTTTTTTTTTTATGGAATATTTTTTTTTAATTTTTGATTAGCATTGAAGTTCAGATTAATTTGAAATCGTTCTGTGTGAGTTTTATTAAAGAAGAAGTGCTTTTTATCAAATTTCTTTTATTTCTGCAACTCAAACCTTGTGATGTTTAATCCGAGCAACCTATTCATCTTACCACATATTTGATGGTGTGGAATACATATATACATATTTTGAAATAATAGATGGATATACCTTATTGAAAGAAAAAGTAAAATAGGGATATACTTTGTATCATCTTATTGCGAAAGGATGAATCAGCCAAAAAAAAAAAAAAAAAAAAAAAAAAAAAAAAACAAGGAGAGGGAAGAAAGACAAATGCATGATTTTCATTGTAGGAGTATGTATTTAGTATTTATACTCATTGGTCAGTGCCTTAAAATTTGATCTTAATTATATTAGTTTAATACTACCGCTAGTCATGTAATTTGTCCTTTTAAACTGAAATTATTGTAAAATATTTAATAATTTAGAAAAACAAAAAAAACATTCTTTTTGCAAAATTCACTCTTAATACTTCAATTAGCGAAATGTTTATTTCGATATTAAAAATAGATAAAAAGTAATTATAAAATATTCTTATAATCAACATTATCAGATATTTTTTTTTATTAAAGATGAGCAAAAATGTGAACTAACGGATAATATAGAACAAAAGGTAGTAATTACATGACATGAAATAAAACAAAATAGTTAGTATGTTTTGGTGAAAAGAACATATTTTTTTTTGTTAAGAGCTATAATTAAATAGTGCAAATATCATAAAAGCATCATGATTATATCATGTGCCAAAATGCATAAGAACAACTTTATAATCCATCACCTTTTTTCAAGTGAACTTTGATACTACGAAAAAGGACAGTCAAGCTCTATGATATTGATAGTGACATGGACAACGTAGCACTTATATATCGTTTTATAAGCTTTTCAAGGTCGATCCAAATGTCCAAAACTTTTCACGTTTTTTCTCAATTTTTTTTTTTGGATCACCTTCTAAATGTATATTCCAAGATCCTATCATCCTAATACCTCCAGCCAATATATTGTGTTTGTCCATTATCCATATGTCACCAAATCACATTACTTTATCATAATTCAAAAATAATTGAAATAAAAATATCCTAATTAAATTATAAAAAATATATACTTCTATAACAGAAACATTTAATATATCATTAATTGATTTTGGGCAAAGCAAAGAACATAAATAAAAATACATAAAGTGGACATAAATTAGCTTGCAATTGCACTATAGTTGATTCACTGACACAATTGTGCTTTTCTATTTTACTTAGATTTTAGCATCATAATTTTTTTTAAAGAAATTAATGAAAATATGTTTAATTATTTCCTCCGTTTAAAAAATTGAACATTTTACTATTTGGAAAATCAAATAAGTTTTTTTTTGCAAAGAGTTTTTAAATATTTTAAATTGTTAATTATTACAATTTATAATATTTTTATATAGTTTTTTAATATATAAAATTTATTTTAATTTTTTTTTATAAAATTTATATCCAAATTAACATAAAAAATTAATTAATTTCACTCTCGTACTTCGAAAACATTCAAACAAATATCTTCGTAAGGATGAAGACCAGTATTTTAAAAGGCAGAAGCATAAGACGAGACCTTTTACTTAACGTAGAGTGAGGTATAAGCCCTGAGACATGGGGTATAAGCCCCATGAATCATAAAAAAAATTAATTTATAAATTAATAAAATAGCATATAATCACAATAAGTATATAAAGCACATTAAAAGCTTAAGAAAATTAAAAAATTAAAAAAACTCACAAAAATAAAATATTTAGCATTTTTTATAAATATAAATAATGCAATAGCGTTAAAGTTACTATAAGATAAAAATCAACTATCATGTCTTATCTTTCAAATGATTAAAAAATTATAATATTTTAAAAAATATTATCAAACTACACAGTCTATCTCTCTAAATGTTAATAATCAAGAAACTTCATCAATAATATAATTTTAAATATTATTCCACATGAGTAAATATAAAATTGCTTTCAAATAACAAATAATATCTATAGTAAGTAAAAATATAAATTTGGCTATTCAAATGATATTCACTCTCTTCTGATATTCTCAATTGGTAAATATGCAATACTATGTCTCATTATTTAATTGAGTTACTCTCACTTTTTTATATTTCTATGGATGAAGATAACTTTAATCACTTAGGGGTCGTTTGGTTGGAATACGATTTATACCGATATAAGTTACGCCGGTATAAGTTATATTGAGATAAGTTATGATGGAATTGTTGTTTATTCATTGTTTGGTATGTTGTATTAAGAATGACAATTGCATAATTTCTAGGAAGAAGGTATAAGTTATACTGGTGCTAATTACCCCACCTTCTATAAGGTATAAGTTATCCCGGTGTTAATTTAACACCGGGATAACTTATACCTGGTTTGCTAACCAAACAGAATATTAATGCGGTATTAAATTTTTATGCCACCCTTATACCTACTTATACCTCATACCAAATGACCCCTTATTTGTTAAAGAATTTTGAGTGCCAACAATACCAATTAAGGGATTTGACGTATACTTTGCACTAGAAACTTTTAGGCGAACCGCGAATGGCGAATATTAGGCATGTTTCGGGCATACAATCAGACAATTAAACTCGCAAAATTAGGCTCTATACCTAAGTCTCAACGCGTTTTGATAGTGCCGCCAAGCGAATCCCAAGTAAACCTTTTAAAACACAACAACTAGGCTTGGGGCGGGCATATTGTGAGATTCATGGCAAGTTTTACGTTGATTTTAGCCATAGGCAATATCCTTCTTTTTCTATCCTGACTTGAGATCGACCATGTAAAAAGTATACGGAATCAAGGCAAAAAATATTTTTGTCTACAGCTACGCGTGTCAAGCAGCCTATCCGCCCGCAGACCGCAGTGCGCTTTCTGCTCTCGTGACTCCCTCTACTTCTTATTAGCTGCTGCTTAATACTACAACTTTTTCAGCAAGTAGCAAAATCTCCATTTTTTTCTCCTTTCCGTTACAACTACCGCGAATCTTACGGTTTATAGTTACACTTTTACTTATTTTTTGCTATATTTTTCATTCATTTTCATTATTTTTCCCTTTCCTTCTATCTATCATACGTGTGCTTTTCGTACATTGAATGTGTATAATGACTGTTTGGATTTGCTAATTTTTTCTTTTTTCAGAGCAGTGAAAATAAGAGATTTAAAAGCATGTTCGAAGCTTTTCATCGGTAAAAGAGAGAAATAGAGAGGGAAAAAAAGAGATGGAAAAGAAGATAAGGATAGGTGTTTGTGTAATGGAAAAGAAGGTGAAATGCGGCCCGGAGGTTCTCTTCCTTTAATTTATTTAAATTCATTTTCGCCCAGAGCGCATGCAAAATTACCACTGCTATATTTATTAGCATATCAAAAACTATTTTCACTCGTAATGATACTTTTTTTTGTCTTTCAATTGTTGAATTTTGATTTTTAGGTATTTTCGGCTCCCATGGGACAGATACTTGATAGATTACAATCGTTTGGTGAATTTGAGGTAATTCATTCACTGTTAAACTATCTCGCCACCTTTTTAATTTTGTTTGCTTAACCCGTAAATTATTCCGTCTCCTGAAAATTGTGAAAAAGAAAAAGCACCGCCAGTGAGTAAAGCAGAGTGTTCTGACAGTGGAATTGTTGAATTGTGCGTTAGTGTTATTTGAAAGCTTTGGACTATTAGATAGGGGACATTTTATTTATTTAATTTATGACGGTGGTCCGTTCGCATGCATCTTGACTGATTACCTGCTAGGACTATTAGATAGGTGACTTATTTATTTATTTATTTATGACAGTGGTGGTGTTCTGGCTAGCAACATGAGTATTGGATAACTCTGTCCACCAAGGATTAGATCGATTAGATAAATGGGAAGAAATTACCTAGTATTTTTTTGCCTTTGATGGGATTTAAACTTGAGACCTCATGGTTCTCCTTCTGCTTCCCTTGGGTGGACACTTTTATTTACTTATATCTGGAACACAATTAGCTCACTCACACGTCTAATTTTTTTTTTCTTAGACCAAGTAAGTGAAATATTTTTGTCGAGTGGTGATGGTGAGAGTTGAAGTAAAGATCTCTACCTACTAATTTACCATGTTAAATTGTGTGAACCATTCAATCTGAAAACTTTAGAGAGGTAGGGATGGGACAATTTTATTCATTTATGTCTACAAAAGGAAGTATTTAAAACAACTGTTTTACTAATTTTGCTGCTTTCGTTGTTTATTATTAAGATTTATTCGTTTTTCTGATAAGATGTATATACTTGCAGGTAGTTCATTTTGGGGACAAAGTTATTCTCGAGGATCCAATCGAGAGGTACTTATTCCAGAATCAACTCTGACTTCAATTGCTAGTATACTACTTCAATTTATACTATATAATA